GAGTGCAGTGGCACGATCTCGGCTCACTGCAAGCTCCGCTTCCCGGGTTCACGCCATTCTCCTGCCTCAGCCTCCCCAGCAGCTGGGACTACAGGCACCTGCCACCACACCTGGCTCATTTTTTGTATTTTTGTAGAGACGGGGTTTCACTGTGTTAGCCAGGATGGTCTCGATCTCCTGACCTCGTGATATGCCCGCCTTGGCCTCCCAAAGTGCTAGGATTACAGGCATGAGCCACCGCGCCCGGCCAGCTGCACTTCTTTCATGACTTCATGTCTCCTGGTCTTTTTGTTTTGCCTGGAACGCCCTTCCCCCACTTTCTGTACCTCATGAACACTTACCTAGTTTTTGGAACCCAGCCCAAGGGCACCTCCTCCGTGAGACTTTTACAATGCTTATGGTGTCTGGGATTCCCCATATCTCATTGCTTTCCCATCTGTTCTCCTATAGGATTTGTGTCCATGTCTCTATATATGATTTTTTTTTCTTTCTTTTTTTTTTTTTTTTTTTGTTAAGATAGGGTCTCACTCAGTTGTCCAGACTGGAATGCAGTGGCACAATCTTGGCTCACTGCAGCCTCCACCTCCCAGGTTCAAGCACTTCTCCTGCCTCAGCCTCTGGAGCAGCTGGGATCACAGGCACCTGCTTCCACGCCCGGCTAATTGTCGTATTTTTAGTAGAGACAGGGTTTCACCATGTTGGCCAGGCTGATCTCAAACTCCTAACCTCAGGTGACCCACCTGCCTCGGTCTCCCAAAGTATTGGTGTAGAGCTTATAGCTTGCAGTGAACGCCAAGAATGAGTTCTCAGACAATTCCATCTGAGCAGGGCGGGGGCGGGGGCAGCTCTTCTAAGAGAGTCAACCTTAGCATCCGTCCGCCAAGTATTTATTGAAAGGGCTTGTTAAATCACAAACATCCACTAGATGGCTTTTTTGAGGTCGGGTCGTGAGGCACCTGTGGCCTTGTAAAAACACTCAAACTGCATTCTCAGGAGGCTGTTTTCAGCGTTCCTTATCACACCACACACTCCACTCCTTGTCCTGTTTTCAGGGTCGAGTTTCATTCTCATGCACAAATAACATACACACAATGCCTCAATATTTTTCCATGCCCCGACCTCGAATGCCTTGTACATAAGCTTGAATATGTTGCCATGTGCCCCCCATATCTCCCCCTTTTTTAATTCTTAAAGCTTGCTGGTCATCTCATGCAAGGTAAGCTTCTATCATTCTTTCCTGGTCATAGATGCATCAGGTGGCAGTATAGGGTCTTCTGCAAATGCCTAGCAAACAGATACAAAAAAGAATAAGTACAACAGCCATCATCCAAATGCATATATTTAAACCAGACAACCAAGTGTTCGGGTTTAACCATTGAAAGCCTCTTGTAATTGCTGCGACCATTCCTCAAGTTGTTTCTTTAATTCACACTCAAGAGTGGAAATTTGAGAACACAAATGGTGGTGATAAGCCCCTTGCAGATGTGCTTTCACTCTCTCCCAAGCATATTGGGAGCTATTATATGTCAGGGGTGTGATACAGAATGATATTGCCAATCACAATGTAAATGTTGACGGGTAATGAATGCCTGCTGTTGATTCCCCAGCTATAGAACAGCGGCTTCAAGAGCCTTCAGGTGAGACAGAATAGTTTTATCAATATTTACCTGTTCTTGAAATTCATGGGTTACATTATATACCATGTGGTTCACCACTGAGGCTGTGTGAATAGATTCTGTCAGAGAAACAGCTGCAGTAGCAGCAGTTGCTAATATAATAATAGCTGAGACTAAAAGGGCAATTAAAGTGGCCAGAAATCTTTTATTTTTTCAAGTATGAGACAGTGCTTTCTAAACAGCTGCAGGGTGGAATCTGCTTCCCAGCTCCGGGTTAAATTTACAGGTAGCCACAATTCCACACATCATTAATTTAAGATCATGACATAGGTTATATTCCACTGCGTAACATTTCGGTGAGACAAGCATGTAGCACACCAACTACTGGAAGAGACTTTAATACTATAAAAGGATTGATTCTGCTCTACGTTAGGAACACCTTACCCAAACAAAATTATATAAGGGTGCATAGTACAAATCAGGAGAGTGTCAGTAACATTATTATGCAAAGAGAGGATATAGTTGCCACTGCTAGTAATATACTCACCATGTGAAAGAACCCGTTCAAAAAGGGAAATCCTAATCTCCAAATTTGGGTATGAGCAGGGCTTAAAGCTTGTTTCCCTTTCAGTTGTAATACTGGTCCTGAAAGGCCACACTCTGACTAGGTAATAGAACTACTGGAGGGACTTCTAAATCCAATAGTCTGATTTGCAGACAGAAGATTACCATGGGGACCCCAATCAAATAAGGTGCCATTATCAAACAGAGGCTCTTGACATGGTGCAGGCTGTCTGTACGGTGACCACTGGACGGCCTCAAACTTATATCGCCAGTCCCTACTCGGATGGCATATAGGAAGATCAGGCACTTGTGAAGCTTCATTAGAGACCTCAGTAAGATTACTGGTAATAGTAGAAATAAAAGTCAAGTTTGCAAGCTTAGCATCCCTTTTAGGCTTATAGTAAAGATACTCCTGAGGGATGAGAGTAACACACTTATGTGCTATTGTGGAAAAACAAAGAGGGGGATTACTAGACAATAAAATCAAGGAGTAATTAAATTTAATTCATCCCAAATTTTCAGTTAAGGGATCAGACAGGGGCATCCATCAGCCTCCTGTCCAATAAGTATCATTAGATGACAAAGGCAAGTCAGCATCCCACCATGTAATAACATTAAAAATGGGTGTGGTGGCTCACACCTGTAATCCCAGCACTTTGGGAGGCTGAAGCAGGCGGATCATGAGGTCAGGAGATGGAGACCATCCTGGCTAACATGGTGAAACCCCGTCTCTACTAAAACTACAAAAAAATTAGCTGGGCGTGGTGGGGGGTGCCTGTAGTCCCAGCTACTTGGGAGGCTGAGGCAGGAGAATGTCGTGAACCCGGAGGCAGAGCTTGCAGTGAGCTGAGATCGCGCCACTGCACTCCAGCCTGGGCAACAGAGCAAGACTCTGTCTCAAACAAACAAACAAACAAAAAACCAGGGGGATCTAGAACATGACTCCAATAAACATGTTCTTGAGCTGATCCCAATTGGCAAAGGACAAGAATTACCAGCCACTGCAACATCCATGTCTGTCTTACTTTCTCAGAAGTTTCCCTAATTACCATCAGATACACAAGAAACCAATTCTCTGCAGTTGCAGGGCCTTCCACGTCTGCAAGCTGAATAGATGCCTGTTGATCCAGTTTCTTTAGCTGTCTCCAGGTAATGTCAGGTGCCTTCCGAGTCATCACCGTCATTGTCAGCTGGTTCTCCAACGACAGGTCCTGTTCTCGAGAAGAGAGTCCCATATTCCCCCTTTTTTGTTTATTAAGATATACTTTAAGAGTTTGATGAGCACATTTAACAGTGGCCTGATTGGTTGAGTTATAAGGAATACCAGTTTTGCGTTGTATGTGCCAAAGTTGCAGTGCATATGCAAATTGAGCGCTAAGATAGCAAGGTCCATTATTAGTTTTTGTTTTTGTTTTATTTTTTGGTGAGACGGAGATTCACTCTTGTTGCCCAGGCTGGAGTGCAATAGCGCCACCTCGGCTCACCACATCCTCCGCCTCCCAGATTCAAGTGATTCTCCTGCCTCAGCCTCCCGAGTAGCTGGGATTACAGGCATGGGCCACCACACCTGGCTAATTTTGTATTTTTAGTAGAGATGGGGTTTCACTGTGTTGCCCAGGCTGATCTTGAACTCCTGACCTCAGGTGATCCACCCGCCTCAGCCTCCCAAAGTGCTGGAATTATAGGCCACTGCGCCCGGCCCATTATTAGTTTTTATAGTGTGTGGAAGGCTTAGAGTTATAATAGATTTAAACAAATGAGCAATTGCATCTTTGTTTTTTTCTCTGGTCTGGAGGGTGGCATGTATCAGGTCTGTATAAGTGCCCATGGTAACGTGGAGAAATTTGAAACATCCAAAGGGTGGATACTGAGTAACATCAGTTTGCCAGATAGCATTAGGTACCAGACCTCGTGGGTTGGCACCAAGGCCTAAGGAAAAGGGGGAAGGAGATGTAGCAGGACGAGCCGCAGACAAAACTCCTCAGACACCGGATTAAAGAAGGAAGAGGTTTTTTATTCGGCCGGGAGCATCGGCAGACTCGCGTCTTAAGAGCCAAGCTCCCTGAGAAAGAAATACTTGGCCTTTTTAAAGCCTTACAACTTTAAGGGGTCCACGTGAAAGGGTCGTGATAAATTGAGCAAGCGTGGGAAACGTGACTGGGGGCTACATGCATCAGCTAACAGAACAAAAAGTTTTACAATGCTGTTTTCATACAGTGTCTGGAATTTACAGATAACACAAGTAGTTTAGGCCAGGGGTTGATGTTATTATTACTACTTTGTTTAACTCCTAGGGCCGGGTGGTGGTGCCAAGGTTGTCTAGCTATTTATCTTACTTTTGTTTCTTTCTCTCTTTCCTCCTGTCTTGTGAACTAGGCAAGGTGGCGGGAGGAAGGCAGCAGGAGTAGTAGTGGTCTCCTTCCTTAGAGAATGCCGTCGGCAATCAGGACAAGTTTTAATAATCATGCGAGCTTGAGTAAGTGTCAAATGAAACTTGTTTAAGACTGCGGACATTCTGATGGAAAAAAGCATGATCAGCTTGAGCTCGCAAAAAGGCAGGTGAATTTGCAAAGCACACGTATGGTCATACCAGAGCATCAACTCGAGCGTTGCCTTCTGATAAGGGACCAGGTAACCCAGAATGAGAGCGAATATTATGTCTTGGTGAGGACAAGTTTGTAAGGCCAATATCTGGGCACCTAATTCCACCTGTTGCGTAGTTTTTAAAATGCTCCTGGATTTTGTGCTGCCAGTTCTGCATGGCATCTTGCCACATTACAGCTGCTTTTTCAGTTTTGGTTTTTTTTTTTTTGAGCCACCTGTAAAGACAGTGGTGGCATGAAGTAAAGGCTCAGAGACAACAATAGATACAAATTTAACAGGTACAGTTTGTAAAAAGTTCAGGAGCTTAGAGGCTGGTAAATGAAAGCTGATATTACCAATAAAGTCAGCAATAAAGCATAGCTACTTGCCAATCAAGATCATAAGCTAAGAAAGTATGAAATTGTTCCTTGCTTAAAGGTAGGAAAACAAATAGCAGGGTCATATCCTGACAGCCAGATGCAACACTGGCATCCCTTTATGAGAAGAGAAGCTATTAAATCTGTAGTCTTTTGTACATGTTTAGGGGGATTATGAGACAGGTACATAACATATAAAATACAGAAATGGCAAAAGATAAAGCCAGCTGTTAAACTAAGGCATGATATTTTAAGTAATTTTCACTGTATTTTGGCCCTTGAAAGTAATTAGAATGTGACTGCAAGTCGCCAGGATAATAAACCTGCATTGAGTTAACTTAAATGTGTAAAAAAAAAAAAAAAAATACAAAAAACTTTAAAAAATGTCCTTTGGTGTTGGCCATTTTCCTGCAACAGCCTTTAACTGGAATGTCTTAGAAGTGAGCTTGGGAAAGTAGGGTTGTGGCTGGTTTCTTTTTATTCGTTCTGGGCTCCTTAGGCAGCTTCTCTTTTTAATAGCCTGCCACTTGTTGCTGTCCTTATCCTGAGAGGAAGGAAGGAAGACTACAAGTGGCAGTAAGAGGTTAGAGAATGACCGGGTGGTAAAGTGCGTGTGTAAGCGGGAAGGCTGGAGGCAAGAGGGTAACAGGCTGGGAGAAAACCATTCCCCGTATCTTCTAGGCCACCGACGCCTGGAGCCAACCCTGTTAGGTAAGGTACTGAAAATATGCTGGGCTTTTTATTACTTTTACCACCCCCAAGCAGAGAGGCTCAGGGGAGGAGCAGACATGCAGCACAGGGTCTGCTTTGACGTTTCTTAGCCACAGTGTTTTTAAACATTTTATAAAAAAGCAAAACAAACATTCCTTACTGCTGCGTCTGTCTTCTGAAGATGACAACAGGTGGCAGATCTCGTCCACCTTAGCCTAGTTAGCATTTAATATGGCTACAGGAGAGCGCCCCTTACTAGCGGGCTCCTCCCCCAGGGCTCTGTCCTCTAGGCTGCTCCACACTCCTTTGCCCACCTTAGGCTAGTAAGGTCGGGGTGCACATGGACTGTTTCTTAGCCCTTTCCCTAGGGGGCCAGGGAAGACAAGGAATTGCTTGTCAACTGAGACATGTGAGGGGTGGCAGCGAAGGGCAGAAGTAGGAAAAGCAGCAGCACAGCAAGCAGCAGGCCACTTCCTGGGCGCAGTTACTAAGGCACGTGATGGTGGTGAGGTGGATCCTCAGGACGGGGCTGGAGCTGCCTGCTCTGTGCTTTTTGGCCTCCCCTCTGTCACCACAAACCCAGAAAGGGGTAACCTGCCCAGACTGCCAGTGACCAAGTGGGCACTCCCTGGCATCTTAGCAACTCTGCTGCCCCAGGCCTCTGTGGGCAGCAAGAAAGCTAGAGCTAGCTGGGATAAAACCCAGGAAGTAGCATGCAACTTCCCCTTATACTCCAGAAAAACAGAAAAAAGACAAGGCCAGAAAGGCTGCTGCTGGAAGTAGGAAATGGGAACTTGCATGTTAGGAAGACAATCATAATCACCCACTTTCCTTTACTCCTGGCGGCACCCCTCCAGCAGGGAAGTTTGTTGAGGAGGCGCCGCCACCCGATTATACCCACGTCGCTGACCAGGGGTTTTTATCTAAGAACTGTCCCTGGGGCAGCCTCCAGTCTCCTTAAGGGGGATGGGAGATGCTGTTGGCTGAACAGGGCCAACAAATGCAGGTCCCTTTAAGGGTAGAGGAAAGGAGGGCAATGGGTTTTCTATACGGGGAGGAAAAGGCTCCGGTCCGTCCTTATCCTCACTAGAAAAAATGTCCTCCTTAGGCCCCTCTACAGAAGGGACTGAAGTAGAGAGAGGAGCACCGCCCCGCCCCCGCTGTTCTGGTTCCTGTTTTTCCTCACTAGAAAAAATCTCGTTATTCACCATAGAAGGGAATGAAGTGGGGAGAGGAATCTCTCCCTTCAAATCTTCTGAATTCTTTTCAGGTGGAGATAATGGGCCGTCTAACCGCGATCTGACAGATAAAGAGGATACAACGCCCAGGTGGTCAAAATAGTAAAATTAGTAAAATGACCTTGCTCATGTCCTCTTTTCAGGCAGCGACCTACCTGCTCCCATAGCTCTAAATCTAAGGTTCCTTGATCAGGAAACCAAGGGCATTCCTGCCGAATTAAAAGCATGAGCTTGTGTAGAGCTCCAGGCTCTACAGTGCACTGGATAGCCTTAAGTAGCTGTTGCACTGTTAAAAAATACTTTCTGTTCTTTGGTCATTTCCTGACCCACGGTAACCCAACCCCCGATATTTTACGTGTGGGTCGCGTCCTCCTGATGGGAGTCAGGACTGTCCCTTACCGGGATTCCCCCAAAATTGATGAGCTGGCCTCCTTCACACGGAACTTCAAGGTGATCATGTCGGGGCACCACTTGCAGAGCTTATAGCTTGCAATGAATGCCACGAATGAGTTCTCAGACAATTCCAGCTGAGCGGGGCAGGGGGTAACTCTTCTTTTTTTTATTATTATACTTTAAGTTCTGGGTTACATGTGCAGAACGTGCAGTTTTGTTACATAGGCATACACGTGCCCTGGTGGTTTGCTGCATCCTTCAACCTGTCACCTACCTTAGGTATTTCTCCTAATGTTATCCCTCCCCCAGCCCCCCACCCCACAACAGGCCCCAGTGTGTGAACAGACACTTCTCAAAAGAAGACATTTATGCAGCCAACAGACATATGAAAAGATGATCATCATCACTGGTCATTAGAGAAATGCAAATCAAAACCACAATGAGATACCATCTCACACCAGTTAGAATGGGGGGTAGCTCTTCTAAGAGAGTCCGCCCCAGCATCTGTCCACCAACTATTTATTGAAAGGGCTTGTTAAACCACAAACATCCACTAGATGGCTTTTTTGAGGTCAGGTCGTGAGGCACCTGTGGCCTTGTAAAAACACTCAAACTGCATTCTCAGGAGGCTGTTTTCAGCGTTCCTTATCACACCACACACTCCATTCCTTGTCCTGTTTTCAGGGTCGAGTTTCATTCTCATGCACAAATAACATACACACAGCGCCTCCGTATTTTTCCATGCCCCCTTTTCCATGCCCCGACCTCAAACGCCTTGTACATAAGCTTGAATATGTTGCCCTGCACCCCCACAGTTGGCATCACAGGCATGAGCCACCATGCTGGCCTATATTAGCATTATTATTACCACTTTCATTATTAATGTGTCTGTCTTCTTGATGTAAG